TATTAACTCTTTTCTTGTCTTTTTTTTTGGCCCCAAACGTATTAAATACACTATCTTAGTGATTCAAATTATTGTATTATTTATGTATGATTATGTCATAATGTATCAATACGCGTCAAAGATGTCCTTTTGTCTAATCATTGAATTGAAATAATCAAGAAGACACTTAATCAGAAAGTAATGAGCAAAAACAAGCACATAAAAGTTGCTTAAGATTCCAAGTAAGCAAGATGGCGGCCAATTAAAGTTGTCTTTGGTCTCAATTCTCAAATACTCTTTGGAAAATATGAAAGAAAGTTGGGTTTATTAGAAAAAATGTGGGGCATCTATTTTAACGTGTGAGAATTAAAAAAATTATTCTATAAACTTTTTTTTTTGCCGAAGTTAAATTTTTTGGAAAAAATTAATTGGGGATGAATTAAATAAGTTTAAATATTTTTCTTAGTGAATTATCCTTTGATGGCATATAGTTAAGGTCTAGGGAAGTAATTTACAAATATTCATTAAGGTAAGTATCTTTTGAGCCGTATAACCTACTCTTTATCACTAATGAATCATTAGAATCCAGCTTATCACTATTGAATTATTGCAGACAAGACATTGTAGAACAAAGTAAGATACACTATTCCTGATTAAGTTGTTCAGCTAGCAAAAAATTTCAAATATTATTATTGACAAGATTAACTTTATATATATATATATATATATATTCCAATGGCTTATTAGGATTAGAGCGTAATTCTAGACTCGAAAAACATTTATAAAGGTATTGATTGCTTATCAACAAATCCTCATATCAGTAACGAGATTCAAATTCATGATATTGTAAGCTATGAATCGGTTCCTTATCAATAGATTAATTCTTGTTAACAATTAACTTTGATTTTAAAGAATTTATTTGAGTCTTTTTCAACCCACTAACTCTAATAGATCTCTAGAACCAGCTCATCATTAGTTCAGTATAGTTAGCCAGTAGACAGACACGTAGGTGAGTTGGATGACGCATGCTTTGCGCGTGAGACAATCGAACATTACTCAAAGTCTCAAACTTCACATTTAACAAATTTGGAGTGACGTATTTTGATTCACATAATGACAAAACGTAGTATTCATATTCATAATACGAGAAGCGTGTTATGCAATATTTGTTATGCGTCGCTGGTCAAAAAAAATATTTGTTATGTGTCGTTGTCTGCAACTTGTGACTGTTGCTTTTCCTCCCCCACCAAAACTGCTGTCTTCTCTTGGATTGTGGTTACTGTTCAATGCTTGGGCCCCAGGATTTTTTATCCTCTGATTCTGACTGGTCTTAACATCAAGACAATTTCACACTTGGTGGGTACAACATGATTGATTGGATTAATTTAATTACAGATATAATTATCAGTTTATGTTTATTTGATTTTGGTGCCTAATTGTTAGATAGGATATTAATATATGGCTGCTTGAAGAAAATAATGGCTTACCATTGCGATCTCAGGATCAATTTGGGAAGCCGAAAGCTGTATTTTTCCCCTTTTTAGTATATGATTGCTTGACCAATGGAATTTCTGATACTTCAAGTGTTCATCTAGAGGTTGTTTGTAATCAAGAAGCTGCTCATTCAATTAAATTGCTCTAGTTCAAATTTTTTATTGCAGCACGATCTGTTTTTAATTCATTTTTTTTCTTATAAAAAAAAATGATTGCTTGAAGATTGTATCTGGATATTTAAATCTTAACTAATGTTGTTATCTTTGTGATGTTTTATTAAATTTACTGCTAACAACATTTCCTAACTAACCGGTGAAAGAACAGGATGAAAGAATCCGTAAAATATTGAAAAAAGCTTTATTAATTAATTAGTTAGCCGATTATCCAACCCCATGTGTTTTCTGTCACCTGCTTTCTTTTGCCTCGTACCGCCTTTTGCTTGTCTAGCCCAGCTCCAAAAGGGCACTAACAATTATAATAAAAATTAAACAACCTTGTAACATCAAGCACCTTTTACTTTTACTTTCTTTTGCTGATACCAACTTTCTTAGGATCAAAGATGCTCATGTCATAGGAAACCACCATGACACGGTAACCACACAGCTTTGAATTTGAGGTGGTCAAATACCACAGCTAGAGCAGTCTCTGTCATGCTAGTAGTTCTTAACCTGAATTCTTTTATTTGTCCAGATGCGCCGGATAAATTCGTGTGTCCGTGAGAGAGACAAATACTAGGGATGGTATAGATGACACATTTAAATATCAAGTTTCTCAACCAAAAAAAAAAAAAAAAAGGGAACATTATCAATGATCATATATATGGCAACGGTCAGCATGGTCCAAGTTCAGATGGATAAATCAAAATTCACTATTGGACATTGTAAACCCCCAACCCCCAAACAAATATTTACTATTAGACAACCCATAGGAGGATCATAATGACATTGAATATAGAACTATGGCATACAAGAACAGATAAAAACTATTAACCCACATCCAAATCATTTCATTGATGGTTTAAGCCATTCTCAGGACGTAATACATATGTACGTAGTAAAAGTCTGTTTCAGAATGAAATTCTTCTATGCTTAAAGCCGAGTTACATCAATGTAAGCTGTATATTTCAGTTAGTGAAACCTAGGCTAGTTACCCATCTTTCCTGGGAGTCAGAAACGATCACAGAGAGCTTGATCCACCATGCATAAAGCCTGCCTTCCTTCCAGAGGAGACTAATAATGAAGATGGGATTATTTACTAAATGCTAATTGATTAGAGATAGGTGAGTTGAAACTGTTGTGACGACAAAAACAACTACTGTGATCAGCGCAGCAATTGTAAATATTAGAGCCTGCAACAATCACAACGTCTCCTATCAAAACCAGGAGCAGTTCTTTCATGAGGAAAAAAGGGGGTACAATGGAAAACAAAAGGGATATAATTTCCCCTGTATCAGATTACATACACAATAAATAGGATAGGTAGCAAAGCAGCACATTTGACGAATGAGTGGAGTATGAAATGTACATTGTTTCTCAACATAAACTGTACTTACAGCTATTGCAGATGCAGCTAGTCCAGCTCGTTCTCTTGGGTCCTTTTGATAGTAATTGCAGAAGTAGAGAATTGTGGCATAATACCAAAAAAGTGGACACACAAATCCTAGCAGAAGGCTGGCAAGAAAATAAAAGGGGTGGAGGAGATGCCATCAGAAAATGAGTTGAGAATAGAAAGTAAGAAACATAAGAGCTGCGTAAAATAACTCACAAGAACCATCCAAATCCACAGCCAAAACAAGGAAGGGGCTTGTCAAATTTTCCTGACTGTTCATCTTCTGAATCCCTGATGGGAGCATATTCACCATTCCTTTGGTCCATCGTGATCCAAGCAGAGCCCTATGCAAATCAAACTCAACTTCTGTGACTAGTTCAATTATGTCTATTTAGCACAGAATTTCTACAGCTAGGGCTTTATTAGAACAAGGATAACATCAACATTCACTCAGAAGGTGGTATGAAAAAACAGAAACAATAATATTTATATATAAGATGAGTAACTTTCTGTGTTAGTCATTTCCCAAGCATAAAAGAAAATGGCAGCTACATGAGACTAGCAGAGGTTCATGACCATTAAGGATCATTTAAGTGGGACTAATAAGACAGGATTGAAGAATCCATCAGGCATTCCAATCCCAATTTCTATATAACCTCGAGAAATTTCCAACTATGATAGATATAAACAAGATTCTAAAATTTTGATCTAGAACTAAAATTCTTTTAGTTATTGATTAAGACTCAAAGTATAACGTAATCCAATAATTATAAATCAAAAAGAAAAGCTTTGAGAATCATGATGACATGATAAAGTGACCCACCTAAAAGAATACAAGAATTACCTATCACGAGCATCAACAACTGGATCGAACATAGGAAGCTCAATTCTATTACAATTCTCATAAATGACTAACAAGTTTAACTTTATATTAAGGCCACAACACTCAGTGAAATTCGTAGCTAGACTCACATAAAAGGGGGAACTATCAAAAAATTGAAGATAGATTCTTGAGGAGGCCCTAGAACTTAGCTGAGTAAGACAAAAAAAGGAAGATGTTGTAGATCTATCAATAGCCTCCTCTGACTGAAAACCATGTAATTCAAAATAACACTTTTAACTGATTTAGAGTGAAGATATCACAATAGAAAGTGAATCACGTACATTTACATCAAATCACAGCACCACACATGATACAACAAGTAGTTGACAATTGTAAAATGACACCTGCACTTATCTTTGCTTCCTCATGCACACAGAGCTTATGCAGCAACTATATTGAAATTTAGAAATCACATCAACTTATTCTCCATCATAGTACTCCAAATCTGTGTTAGCATTAGATAGTCCCGTATTACTGGTTGTGTTTCGAAAACATTTTTCCGCATTTATTACTGATACATTAGATGGGCCACAGAGACTATACACAACTAAGAAAGAGCTTCCAAAAATTGCACCGTACAAGAACAAAAAAGGCATAGGCTCGAGTTCAGAGTCATGAGTGAAGGAAAAAAACAATTCATAAAAGCGGCATTATCCTCCAAGTAAGCTGACATGCGCATTTGAGCCATTCATACAACAACAATTTACTCAAATCTCAAGACTATAAAGAAAAAATCAAAAAAACTATTTCAATCAACGAAATTCCTTCCAACCGGCAAACATACCACTCAAATATACGACTAAATGCATAAATTTAGAAATAACATCCGAAGAAATAACTTGCGACAAAACATAAAACACCAGAAACCAGCTCTAACAAAGAAATTAGCTATTTAACCAGAAACGAAAATAAAAGACGGAGAGAGATAGATAGATAGAGAGAGTGAGTTGTTACTTGAGAAATTCCAGCGAAGAAAACTGAACAGAGCAGAATCAGTTTGGGGCAACAAGTGATTGCAGCTAACGCAGTCGCTCAATAACGGAAGAAGAAAAGGAAACTTCCACAAGAGAAGTGAGAAGAAACGCAGCTTCTCCCCATGACGGTGACGGTGACGGTGACGGTGACGATCAAGTTCGCTTCCGATAGGCACTGGATTTCCACTTTGCTCCCACACTCACAGACAAAAGCAGCTTCGGTCGCAACTTTTTACCTACTCCGTAATACGACACCGTCTGCTGTCATTTCTTTTCATGGCAGTCATTTTTTTAAATAAAAAACTTTCACTTAGTATTTCTAGTATTTAGGAAAATAGTACTACCTCCGGTCTTTAATATAAGATCTTATTTGATTTTTATTTTGATCCTAAATATATGACTCCGATCCACTTTGTCTCTCATATTTATGTTTTTTTTTTAAATAGTCCTTCTAACAATAAGAGTTTTAACCAGTACACTTGATTAGTAAGGATATTTTAGGAAAGACAATACCTATTTATTACAAATAACTAACTTAGCTTCTTTTCTTAATCTCCTTAAATTAGTCAATTATCTCTTATAAATAGGACCGAAGGTAATATAAAATAAGATATTGAGGCAAAATTAATATTAAAATAAAAAAAATTTTATAAAATTTTAAATATCTATGGTTACATTCAATAGGTAGAGTCCAACTTTTTCACTTGAACTATGAAAAAATTATTCAAATATTTTGGCATAAAAATTATTTATTTGGAATTCTCATATCCGTAAATTCACAAGACAAACGTACAAACCTACACCACATGGAAAGAGATTTTGTGTACTTTTCTAGAGAAAAAATCAATATAGTTATTTGTTATTGTTAATAATAAAATAGGAAGTACATATTGTATGCTTTAACAAAGAAGCACGTCTGTTGGCAAAAACAAAAACAAAAGAAAAGAAAACAAAGAAGTACGTCTATTTGTTAATTGAACAATACTTTCATTAATTTGGGCCTTTTTCTTCCTCCGGTAGCAAGAGTCAGGCCACTACACTTATGAGGCCCCGGATGTGGGCCGAGCGAGAGAAAAATGTCAAAAAGCAGGCTTCAACATTGTTCTTTAGTTTATCGGGCCTAGAGAGGGAAAAACACATCTGCTCTTTTTTCTGACCCAAGTAACCTGGCCCCTGTATTATTAGCTAAGCATTTGTTGAATCTAGAGGAATTAATTAGTCTCTCACAATGTAACAACTAATATTTAAATTCTTTTTAGAAGAGATAGCTACATTTAGTACTTAACAGTGTCTCAAATAGGATTATCTCCAATAAGAAGATACTTGTGTTTAGGAAAAAAAACTATTAATTTACTATGAATCATAGTTCAAAATTTTTTCTAAAAGAGGTATCCGTAGTTAATGCATGACACTTGCCTCCATTAGGAATATATTTGTGTTTTTCTTTTAGCTTTTTGAGAAAGCTAGCCAAGCGAGAGCAAAAGGTAATGTGAAAAAAATTGCCAAAATTTATCATGATTTCAAATTAGATTTACATTTCTAAGTGCCCATTTGTTTCGATGCATAGTATTAGGATTTCTTGTAATCCGGATACAATGACCTCTTTCATGCGTTTGGTTGGTACATTTAAATGGTAAAGGGGATTATGATGTGCATCGTGATTACTTTATATGAAGTAACAGGGATTACACTTATATTAGTAAAGAATGAGGATTACAATATGTGTGAATCTGAAAAAGACATTAATTGCCCTTGCTTTCTTCATCATCTTCCTCAACTATTGTTGACCCGTACGCTAGTGATGTTCCTCTATTGGTGACCCTTTCTCCTCCTTCCTGTACCAATGAACTGGGCATCTTCATCTTTCCAATTTGCTTCATCATCACAAAGATGAAAACGAAAAATGTACCAGCACTAGCAAAAAGTAAAAGCAGAAGAACAAAAATAGAGATATAGACAATAGGAGATTTTTGATGTGGCTGGAATCTTCGCCAAAAATGATGAAGATGAGTCAGGAGAATGGTAGAAGTAGAAGAGAGGAATGATCAGTCCCATTTGAGGAAGAGGGAAGACGAAGGGTGACAGAGGGGTCACAGTGATGGGTGAGTGTTGCCGCAGTGGTTGAGAACGACGTAATAAGCAGTGAACTCAAGAGAAATTTTTATTTGTGCAAGGGCATTTTTGTCCTATCAATTTTATTTCTATTTAATGTAATATAAGTAATCAATTTAATTTTATCATTCTTAATATGGTACCAAACAATTTCATTGTAATCCCTTTTGCATTACATCCCATTCCCAGCTATTACATTACATTACATCCTCATTGATTCCATGAATCAAACGGGCTATAAATTATTTTACCTCCACGGTTCCATTTGTTAGCCTGATGTTTTATTTTCAATATTTGTTGCAAGTTTTCTTCTTGTTTATTTTTTCTTTTGGATTAATTTCAACAACTCAACTTTCAATTAGTTAACGGCTATTCTCTCTTTGTTCCCGCCAAATATAGCAACGACGCATCAAAGGCGAGAACAGATTTCCCCCAAAAAATGTAACCATGGAATAATCGTATATTGTTCTTCAATTTCTCTAGCGCTCCCATTCACCACCGCCCCATCTCGGTGGGGTGGCGCCACCGTGATGGCTCTGTCGGGAACAGCCTCAAATGCAGAACTCGGCCCTACTGTCATCGCCGTTGATGACGACGTCAACAGCGTGTACGCTGTCAAATGGGCAATTCATAATCTTTTACAGAAGAACTCAGCTTCCACCCTCATTCACGTTCGGACTAAGAATTTACATCCTCGTAGGTACTCTTTTTCTTTAATCTCATTTCCACCATCTATAATCTCCGGCCGGATGTTATTCTAGGTCGGTGCCTCATTGTTTAAAGAGAGTTTGTAATAATGACTGGCTGAAAAGTTTAGCCAAGGGGTTCGTAATCAGTACATTGTATCATTATCTATTAAATTTTCATATTGTTTACGCTATATGGCTATTAATGAACAATTACATCATATTTCTTTCGTCTATTACATTTCTCGTATGGTTAATGCAGGATTGCAGATGATGTTGATTCTGTCCCTAAAGAAGGTCGTCCACCAACTGAAGAAGAATCAAAACAAGTTTTTCTTCCCTTCCGAGAATTTTTTGCACAAGAACGGGTGAGTAATTGGCAGTATCATCTATCCTACTCCTCAAAATCTTTGAAACCCAAATGTAGTACGCATTTTGATGATAGAAGGAGGCGTGTAAGACGAATTAAAGCTTGCCGGGACCTTCATAAATGTTTCTAGGCCAACTGGATTGTTAAACCGTGGTGCTATAGATATTTACGCTTACCCATGTGTATAGAGCGTCACGAGGATTGTCCACATATGCGAATGCAGATGCTAAAATTAAATTAATTTCAGAATAAGTTGAATAGTTTGAACTTTTCGACTCTCACATTTACTATTCTCTACGAACATGTTTATGGAGCAGAGGTTACAAATTGGATTGATGAAAGGTCAAAATAAGACAAAAATATCATATATACAATTTACATATCTGAAAATCAAACTACATTATGGTTAAGGGCCTTGAGAAAACTCACCAGCATCATTGTTGGTTCTTGTGAAATTCATATCAGATCACAGCGAAGGAGTTGGTTCTGCACGGCAATGATGTTACGAGTACACTAACCGATTACATCATTGAACACTCTATCAGCAATATTGTTGTTGGCGCTTCCCATCGGAATGCTCTTACAAGGTTCCTCTCTTTCTCTCATTCATATTTATACATGGACAAGTACATAAGCGAGATTGCAGATATGTCATGAGACATGCTATGAATCAAATTATATTATATTTAATGGCCCATTAACTAATCGTCTTCCTAGATGACCACTGCAGGAAATATAAAGGGTTAGGTGTTTCAAACAGTTTAATGAGGTCCGTGCCAGAGTGCTGCACAGTACATATTATATCAAAAGGAAAAGTGCTAAATATCCAGCCAACAGGTTTCCCTCAAAGCATAAGCATCATACCAACTACATCGATGGAAGACTCATACTACGATCCCCAGGGAAAGTCACAACCGGATCATTTGCATAATCTTCTTCCTGATACTTCAGATTCCGAAGATATAAACAGGTTTACTATTTGTACTATTCATAATAAATGCTATCATCTTCATAGTTTTCCAGCTTCTGAGATGCCTTTTACCTGTTAGTTGATGAAAATTATCAGCCTAATGGAGCCTTGTTCATGTGAGAACCATTTAACTTAAAATATTTATGATCCAACATAGAAAATGAGAAGGATGATGGATCACCAAAAACTCTAGATGTCACAGCCAAATTGCTTGAGCATAATGGTTGAGGCTGGGGACAGCTCATTATGGGCACGCATCTTCAATTTTCCCTTTCAACTTTTATGGACTTAATTGGTTCGATGGCTTTTCTTTGGTGCTCCATACATGCTCTTTTTATGGGATTCATTATTTTACACACAAATAGGAAGCATCTCCTTCATTAAATCAATTTTAATGTTTAGGAGTTATTTTGTTTGTTTCCAGACTTTTCCTTTGACGATTTATCACCCTCCTACTATATTTGCTATCTTCTGCTCTTATTTCTTAATAGAACTTGTTTAAGAAAATATTTGGCATCATAGAAGTGGGAAAGAAAAATATGGTAGAGACAGTTAAGACTTCACTGTTTCTGTGGAGTTTTCACTTGTCTGAGTATATGTCCATGGTGCTTTCTTTAACTTTTTATTCATCATTGGGCTTTGAATCTCTGCTACTCATCTTTTTAGGTCAATATCTTAGACGGTCTTTTTGTTTATACAGAAAATCATTCAAACATTTTTGGCCAGGCTCAGGTCTTGATAGGGTTTATATTGGTGAAAACAACGACACTGTGCAGGTGGTAACTCATGAGTCCTCCGAAGAGGCTAATTTATCAAAGGTGGAAACACATAAGTCCTATGACGAGGATAATTTAGCAAGATTAGTGGTTGAAAACACCTCACCAAAGGATTCATCAAATCAAAATTCCCTTTCATTCACTGGTGACAATTCAAGGATGCTTAGTTCCCAGTTGGCTCCTTTGTTACCTGAAAACCAAGCAGTATCTGTGAACTCACACGGTCTCTGGAGGGCCTCATCAAATGCCAAAGTACGTACTATAATATCAAATTGGTAGGACCGATCTCTCTTGGCATAAAGTGATGTGGAGAACTATTTTGTCATTTCCATTCTAGAATAAAACCAAAGATGATGTCTTCACTAAATTGATTTTGCTATCACATACGCATCACCTACTTTGATAGGAACTGATTTATTTGGCCTTGAAATGCATATTCACTTTTCCCCAATTGTGGAAACAAATTAATGGCTATAAATAACTTTTACTTCATAGTCAGTCTTCCAGCTGACTCTAAGCAAACCTTGAGAAAAGGATAAAAAACCTAGGTTTCCTGAGTGCTTAAACTTGACGATCAAAAGTTACGCGCGTAGTTTTTCAGTGTTAGTGCACTTTAATCTTTCTTTTCCTCTCCCTTAACTTTCCAATTGCATAGAGCTGTTTGGTTTTTATGGTTTATGTAAGTTTTAGTTTTCAAGTTTTGAGGCTATGGCACTGGCACTATTTCATCTCCCCTTCCCCTCTCTTCACCTCCTTTTATATTCTGGCTATGGTTATTTTCTTTGTAGAACAGTGGGTCATTTTCAATTAAGTTATCTCTTCTTGGCTGTTTATCTCCAGAGAATAAAAAGAGGTTCATACCTTAATGATACAGCATGTTTCTTAGATTACTGGTTGTCACAATTGGAAGTTTATTACTATTTCAGTAATCAATAACTAATGTCTTTTTAATTTTGAGCATATTTAACAAAAAAAATTTCATGCTAATGGCCCAGATTTTGTATACACAATATCCATTATATGATTTTATACACATTTCTTTCTCCTTTACATGAGCTGTCTGTCAGAAAGGCTTGAGTATTGAAATGAGGCAATTAAGCCTAGAATTGAAAAAAACAATGGAGAAGTATAGCTCAGCCTGTAGAGAAGCCATCGCAGCAAAACAGAAGGTATTGCATGTCATACATTCTACTCAAGCTTATCAAGTTTTAGAATAAACCACAGAAAGGGTGAGTTGGAAAAAAGTATTTTTATTTTAGGTAATGGAGCTTGAACAGATTATGCAAGAAGAAGAACGCAACTTAAAACATGCAGAAATAAGGGCCATGCAGGAAGAGGAAGAGAGGAAGACAGAATCAAATATGTTGACTCATGATAATATTCAATGTAGAAAATTCGATGTCAAGGACATTGAAGTTGCAACTCGCTGCTTTAATAGTCATTTGAAAATTGGTGATGGTGGATGCGGGTCTGTTTATAAAGGTGTGCTTGATTTCACTGATGTTGCAATTAAGGTCTTGAGACCAGACATAGACCAAGGAGAGAAGCAATTTCAACAAGAGGTACTTGCTAATGACTTTCTTTTTGGCAGAAACTAGGAGCATCAATATTGGCTTTTCTGTATGTAATCACATTTTATCAAATTGGAACTTGCTTTTTTTTTTTTTTCCTAACTAGATTGTGAATCTATATTTTTCACCAAAGTTTAAAATGAGTCACATTATCCATGACTTATAAATAGTGTGGTTTATTATAAATTTTATACTAACATTTTCAAAGCTCAATAATCCCACATATTTGACATCATTAGGTTAGGCTCATCATTATTCACCTGCCGTTGCCTTACGTTACAATTTCTCTGTACACTTCATCAAGAAGTGAAAGTGAAAAGTGTATTTTAATGATACAAAAAGAAAAATGAAGAGTAACAATCACTAATTTCATTTTGCAAATATAAATATATAAGAACTTTTATATTTAATTAGAGTCTCAGTTATCTTCTGTCTTGATGCTTCCAATGCAGTTTGAGATTTTGAGCACCATACGGCATCCAAACATTGTTCTCCTGCTAGGTACCTGCCCAGAGTATGGATGCCTTGTGTACGAGTACCTGGAAAATGGCAGCTTAGAAGATCGCCTCTTCCAGAAAAATAACACTCCCCCACTTCCATGGGGAATTAGATTCAAAATAGCAGCAGAAATCGCCACCGGCCTTCTTTTCCTTCACAAGACAACACCCAAACCATTGGTGCACCGTGACCTCAAGCCATCAAACATTCTGCTGGATGGGAACTATGGGAGCAAGATAAGTGATGTTGGTTTGGCTCATCTTGTTCCTCCTTCTATACCTGACAAAACCACTGAGTATCACATGACAGCTGCAGTTGGTACATTTTGTTATATTGACCCAGAGTATCAACAAACAGGATTATTGGGAGTAAAATCAGATATATATTCGCTAGGTATAATTCTGCTACAAATTCTTACTGCTAAGCCTCCTATAGGTTTATCTCTCCTTGTTGAGCAGGCCATCCAAGAAGGTACTTTTCAAGAGGTACTTGATGCAAGTGTGCCAGATTGGCCTGTTGAAGAGGCTTTATCTTGTGCTTTGTTGGCTTTAAAGTGCTGCGAGATGAGGAAAAGGGACAGACCAGACCTGGGTTCTGTTATTTTGCCAATGCTAAATCGACTCAGAGATCTGGGAGGAGCCTTTGGAGGTGATGGCCTTCCTGCAAGCCAGGTTAGTTAACCTTTGAATTCACTACCCAAATGTACTTCTGAGTACTATAAGCTTCTCACGTTTAAAAGTAAAGAGTATAGTCAGAGTCATTTGACCTATCGCCTATAGTCTCGTTGGCTGATAAACCAAGTTAAAACTGGGACAAATCAATAATGGAGAAAAAGAATGGCTCACCATGACTATTATCTCAAATCTAGAAAAAAACCAGGTCCAAATGGCTCATCGTGACTATTATCACTGTTAGGTACGAGAGCGAAGGTGGCAACCCTTCAAGTCCATCGCCAACCTATTGAGCTTCAATCGTAATTCCGAGAAGCCAGGCCTCTTACCACCAACAGGGAAGAAGCATTTGGGGGAAACAAAAAAGGACATTTACAGGGGCTGCTTCTCTTTAGTAAGTTGCTCCAAACACAACCGGAATCTAAAGAAGTTCCACTCTTTCTCTTCAATTGAGTGAGGGGATTTATTCATGAACTGCAACAAACGGACGAATCCCTTGTTGTCTTTTTCTTCATCATTAATGTATCAATAGGGAAGGCATTCTTATTATCATAGGGAAGGCGTTCTTTTTGTTATGAACTCATTTTAATGAATCTCCATGAACGTCAGGGGAAGGCACTATTGCTAAATAAATATTTTATAAAGTTCATCAGTAACCTCTCGATACTAACCATGTCGATAAAAGAATCAATAAAAAATGTAATTTGAATACACGAAAACAGAGACTAATTTATAGGGATTAATTTAATATAATATGCCCCGTTTTGACGAGTCAACTTTTCGAAAATTTTGATATTTTTATTTGTAATTTATAAGTGCATTTTGGTTATGGATCAGCACAACAAAATTTCAACTCAATCCTTTGTTTCTGCAGTCTATTTTCAGAATTTTTTGTGTTTAATTTAAAAGAGAGTGGCTACAGTGATTAGTTATCCTATTATGAAATTCTCCCTAATTTTATCTTAGAAAAATAGCATAAAAATATTTTATTAGATTAAATTAAAGATGTTCAAAATAAAATTACTCCCCTCAGTCTTTGTTAAAACATTCTCGTAACTAAATTATATAGTTTAAAAAACAGTTCAAATTAGTTTAAAACAACATATATATTCCTTCAATAATAAATATAAAACCCATTTTACAGCGTAATTTTTATTTAGAAACAGAGAAATATAAAAATTGAATAATTTTTCTAATATATCCTTATTTAACGAGAAAACAGATAAGAGAGAAAATTACAGTAACAAGATAAGTAATGAAAGAGAATAAAAGATGAGGGAAAAAAAAAGACAAAATAAAATAAAAAATTAATTAAGAATAAAATTGATAAAAACACGTGTTGAAACAATAATTTTAAAACCTCAAGCCAGTCAATTTCGTACACCTGTGCCAATGGACCGGCCGGTCTGATTTCCTACGATAAAGCGAAGAAAGCGGACCGGCTCCCCGCCACGCCGCCCTTCCAGCTTGATATTTTCCCGCAAACCCATACAGCACGCTTCCCTGTCCCTGTTCCGCGGTTCGCTCCTTTTTCTTCCGTCTTGCACCCAGCCCTAACCCTAATCGTCTGGAAGCTCTGCCAATGGCGTACCGTTCCCCTGATCGAGAATCAGGATCCGAACCGCAAACCCCAACGCGCCTTTATAATCCTTACAAGGACCTCGAAGTGCCCATTCGAAACCTATACCAGCTTCCAACGTCCCCTGAGTATCTCTTCGTCGAGGAGGCTCGCCGTAAGCGTCGATCCTGGGGTGAAAATCTCACCTTTTACACTGGCTGCGGCTACCTTGCGGGCGCCGTTGGTGGTGCCGGCGTTGGCCTCGTCGATGGGGTGAAATCTTTTGAATCCGGCGACACCACGAAGCTGCGGATAAATCGTGTCCTTAACGCTTCTGGTCATTCTGGTCGGTCTTGGGGTAACCGAGTTGGTATTATTGGATTGTTATTTGCCGGTATCGAGAGCGGAATAGTGGCTTTGAGGGACACTGATGATGCGTGGAATAGTGTGGCGGCGGGGCTCGGTACTGGTGCATTATATCGTGCTGCGAGAGGGGTGAGATCAGCGGCGGTGGCGGGAGCTGTAGGCGGAGTTCTAGTCGGTGTGGCTGTTACTGCTAAGCAGGCGTTGAAACGATATGTGCCAATTTGAGAAGGTCTTATTAATCGAGATTTTAATATTAATTTAATTTAACTACTTGTCAATTTTGGGCGATTATTGAGGCAGAAGGTTTAGATTATACCACCACGTTGCACTTGGTAATGGTAATAGTGCTTTTGTTGCAAAATATTGATTAAATGCATATTTTTCAGTCAGATATTGGCCAACTCTTGGAATGAAATTTATAGATTCATCTTGTAGCAACCAATTAAAATGGGTTGAAATTCGGGTGCAACATAAAATTTATATCTGTTCCATTTTTTCTATTCATTTGATGAATGTATAGCTTGTCGATACATTGAAAATTATGAGATTTTAATGCGAGAGCCCTTTGCTGTTATGATATATTACTGAATGGAACCCGAGCATGTTAATGCATTATGGATTTAAGGGCATTTCTTGTTAAGATGGTCTAATACTCTGATTGTAGACCATCGTATTCGTACACTTGATAAGGCGGCAAGAGGCAAGGCTAATATAAATTACTAATATTTGATGGTTTCTGATAGAATGTTGATTCTGATGGCTTGACATAGAAGTTCTTTCTTCAAGTTGGAATATGTTTATGTTGTTCAGAGATTTTGCATTCTACATCAAATCCTTTTCCTAAAGTATACAAGGCTTGCAACGAATTAGGCATTCATATAATGAGTCATTTGGTATTAGGCTGAAAGAAGTATCTCCTTTTTGAGATAGGAAGCACATATAATTATTATTTTACAGTTAAGATGCCTTCCTGCTGGAGTAAAATTTTGGTAGTTTACAGAGCGTAACTAAGCTGCATCTGATATTGTCAAACAAACTCTTTCTTTGGAAAGATACAAGTTGGTCTAAGGAGCAGCTTTCCTTGCCAGAATTAAGTAAGCTGACTACTTGAGTATAGATTCTAGGCTCCTTGCAAGTCTTTAGTTTGACTTTTGAAGTCGTCCTTTTGGCCCTTGCAGGTTGCGACCTAGATTTTATAATTTATAGTTGATTACTTCATAAATGGTAGACTTCTAATCAGTGTTGAGGTTTCCTCTGCTGCATTCCTCGGCGTGAAATAAGCTGGAACCTTTTTTCCTTGAGAGCTAATGAATCTTCTATCAATTGAGATTTTCTTTTTAGAAATCCTGAGATGTCCTTGTGAATTTCTCTTTCCTGCATGGCAAGCTTTTGATTAGGGATATTTTTTTACAGCAGAAATTTGCTATGAGAGCCTGTTTAGATTATTTTCCAATGACAAAACATTTGAGTGTTTGACACCGCACAAAGGAACAGAGACAAGGAAAGGTTACACTGTTATTGGTTACTGCGTCCAAATTTATGGAGATTAGCTTGCGCATAGTTCCTGTAAGTGGATTTTCTTTTCTGTTAAGCGGTTTCTGATAAAAACCAGAAGGCAGCTCCAGGATCTATCACTTTTTGCGCTGTCCCTTGCTCCCCTGACAGTATTTAAACCCTTTCTTAGTGAATTTACATGCCTTATCATCTCTTAAAGTCTGTTGTGGTAGGTGATATAGAAGACTTGTACATGGATGGGCTGTTTTCCCTTTCAGAAATGTCAGTGTGATCATGCATATTCTGCTATGTTGCGGAGTATTCATTTGTCCAATGCATATTTTTAGGTTGAAAATGGCCACTTGCACTAATTTTACTCAGAAAATCAGCATGTAATGAATAACCAGAATCCGTTTAAATTTGGAGATAGCGTAAAAGTTCGTTACTATTGCACAACCACACATAATTAGATTAATTAAATTAATGCGAATGAGATTGTCGGTGTTATATCGAGTTAATTGACTGTGTGATGAATCCATGATAAGCGTTGGCGAACAAGTGAATGTATTGATCGGCACCTTGCTTAGAGACCAAGTTGGGTGTGAGATTGCTGGCATGAACACAAATAAGCGCGTTCCTAAGAATAATTGAAGGGGTGTTTGGATAGAAACCAAATCATGATTTTAAAAGTATTTTTACGGTTTACGAAGTAAATATGTGGAGGATTTTGTCTCATTTTGTGAAAAAGTGCCTCTGAGAAGGACGTTTGAGGGTTGCCAAACACCCTCTAATTTGTTGTGGAAGTACTTCATGTTTCATGCTACTCACATCTAAAGATCCCTCTTTGATAAGGTTTAGGCTGTCTTTTGTGATATCTTAGATAATGAATTCTTTTGATTCTCATTTCCATATTTTATCGTTGGCTGGTAAAGTATGATGTGCTGAATAATATCAAGGGAAAACCAATCCTCTTTTGTCCTTATAATTTTATTGTATTTTCTCCTATATGCAAGTCATTTGTACCTCATTTTTGCATGGTAAAAAATACGTTTAAGTTGATATATAAGTTTTCACATTTATTAAAAAAGATATTTAAAAAAAATTTTGGAGAATTACAATGAGGTCATAAAGAAGGGAAAAAATTATAGAACAGGTCTTAAAAGTTGTTATTCTCTACGTGAGAACTTGTCATTACAAGTTGCTTAGGTTAAGATTTGGATCTTTGAGTAATTATTTCTATTTCTTGAAACTTGATTATAATTCTCCCAAAAAGGCATGATGCATATTTTCTCACATTTTTTTGTTATATTCAATAGAAGTAAAATTAAGAAAAAGTTATTAATTAGTTTATAAGTACTTATATTTAGAAGTAAATTTTTTTTCTCTCATCACTGATGTGAGAACATGGTGATATCTGCTATATATATATTTGGTTGTCCAAGAGTATCTTCTTATCTCAACGATAAAAAGACTAATTTCTGGCAGTATTGTTGGGCATCCCTGATCAATGTTATTTTTTTCTGTCCCAAGAGTCAGACCTGGAACATAATAATCAAGTGTCCAAGTCTTTTTCCTTCGAACCAACACTTTGTTCCAGTAAGTGATACAAGTGGGTCATGGTGTCTCCAAAGATGGAGTCGGTGACATAGTGGGTGCAACTTTGTTCCAGGAAAGGCCCAAATAATTGTTTAGAGTTCGTCTGTGACAAGCTAAGGCCCAAACTTTGATTGGGCGGTCCAGATTCTCCTTGAAAGTCTCAACTCTGTCCTTATGGATATAGCTCATGTTTGACCTGTACTGTACTGTTCTATTATTGTTTTAAAAAAGTAATGAAATTATAAATAAAAAAACACGATAATTTAAACCATCCAATTTGATCTAGGTCTATATTTATTGAAGGCAACAAGTCCTAACAACCCCCATACCGCTATTTTGATCTTGTACGTAAGTCACTTGTAGGATAATTAATGACACTTTTTTTTTCAATTTTACCTCAATTGGATATACAATAAAAGAAATTGGTGAAATAGGTGAGAAAAAAAAGTACATCGTATTTTTTTCAATACTTTCTTTTTATTGTGAGCAAATGTGAACAATTTTATTAATTTAATGCATTTTTAGATATACAAGAATGAGGTATATAAGTGACTTATACATAAAAACAGAGTGTTATGTGAAATGAACGTAAACAGCCATGCGTACAGACTCTGCACACTGCACTTGGTTTCAAAAGCGTCATTTGGGGGCGTGAAGTTTGGAAATTCATGCACGTAGGCATGGAGCGGAGAAGTGTGAAAACTGGAAAACACAGAGGCATATGTACATAGAGAGGTGTGAAACTATGACTCTGATTCAGATGCATTGTGGTCCACTGTTCACATGAAGGGTGAATTATAGGGCCATCTTTCATTTGTCCGATCCTTTCTGTTGTTATATTCACGATATATAATTACCGATCGATCTCTTCCATCGATATCTGCACTTTGTATGATTATCATCATTTTGGTATCAGAGTCAAGACTCGTCGTATGTATAACTGCATGCAGAATGCGATGCTGTCATCTTCTCGTTCTTCTCCATCAAAACGCATGGCTGCCACACTCACTTCTCACTCAACACGTACGTCTTCACCTTGAATCCTGCGCATGTGTTTGTTTGGCTGTGAAGTGCGACAGTCATCTCGAAACGCATATTGTCCCCTTCTTCATCAACACTACCAATTCAGAATCTATACCCTCCAAAAATGCTGAACAGTGGGTCCTATTCTCATCTACAGTATCACTTCCGATTCTTAATATAAAATCTTTTTTTTTTTATTTTGGCTCTAAATATGAGTTCCTAATTCATTTTATCTCTCATATTTATACTTTTTTTTTCAAGATAGTCCTTCTAACAATAATAATTTTAACCAATACACTTGATTAGTAAGGATATTTTAAGAAAGACAACACTTATTTATTACAAATAACTAACTTAACTTATTTCCTTAATCTCATCGAATTAGTCAATTAGCTCTTATAAATAGGACTGGAAGTAGTATTTATTTATAATCTATGAATAGTATAGTACAGTGTTGTGTAAATATTGAGTTTTATATATATATATATATAGAGAGAGAGAGAGAGAGAGACGGGTAGCGTTGAAGACGATAAATTGTCCAACTTCCCAAACATCTTCTTTACACACACACTGCACAGCACGATCTAAATCTACTACACACAGTTTTTGTTTTATCGACTTTTAAGGAGCATTTTTGAATAAGTTCACTGGTTAGAGATTGTGATTGTTCTGTGCATTATTTCTGATCGCTCCCAACTGCAATAATATTTGTTCTTATCAATTAAGACACTCTTCTGATCGATGTACATTATATATATACATATAGATATATGTGTGTGTGTATATATATAACAGTGATAGTGATCATAAACCTCCAGAGGCTCTGGGACCCAAGCAAGCTCGTCTAACTGCAATAAACAATGTAGCTTATTCAGAGTCCGTATATAGTTTTTAATACCCTGTCGGTATTTTTTTGTCCGGATATGGGAAAATATTATATGTTGGAGAAATTTATATTATATATTCTTTTTATTTATTAAAAGTCTGAGTGAAAATACTTCACTGCTCACATTGTGAGTAGTGTTGTTTGTACATAAACATTTTATATCATTTAAATTTTACTGTTATTTTAAATGAAACTTTTTTCTCATGCTTGGTCATAATACTAAGCCTTCTTCTTATTAATAAGGGTAGTCAAAATAAAAAAAAAAAACTAAGAATATAATATGGATAATGAGAAATGGAGGGCATCATATCTTAATTTATATTAATTGAAAACTTAAGTTTATGCAACTGTTTGATAAACATGGAAGGTAAGAGTGATCGAAATAATCTCATGGAAAAAAATGATATTTTTCCTTTCTCACTTTGCTCTTTTAAATAAACAAAGTCAATTATTTAGAATAAGAAAAATAATAAATATTAATAAAATAGAACACCTTTCTCCATTCCAACCAAATGTAGATGGACTAATAAATGCAAGCAACAAATTTTGAAATAGAAGGAGATAAATAAATTATCAGTTGAATGGAATGAGGCCACGTGACTCTATATATAGTTTTTAAAATCCAATGACAAAATCTTTTATCAAAATCAATTTAATTGGCTCATTTCTTAAATCTCATAGATTTATATTGTGGGCAGAGATATATAGTGGCATTTAATTTCATACAACCACCGAACCTAATTCTTTGCTCACTCCATTCTTTCGCAACTCTATTTTGTTATGAGATATATCAAAATAATAAATGTAAGATTTTTGCCAGCTAATAAATGTAAGTTTTAATTGCTTATTTTATTAGAAAAATAACATCTCTTGTACATTATATATACATATATATATCTGTGTGTGTGTGTGTATATAACAGTGATAGTGATCATAAACCTGCAGAGGCTTTGGGACCCAAGCAAGCTCGTCTAACTGCAATAAACAATGTAGCTTATTCAGACGATCCATGTATAGTTTTTAATATCCTGTCGGTATTTTTTGGTCCGGATATGGGAAAATATTACATGTTTAGCTCTTTTTATTTATTAGAACTCTGAGTGAAAATACTTCACTGTTCACTAGTAGATATATAAACTTTTCTTGACCCAAAGTGATCATTTGGCATTACTAAACGTTACTATTAACATCGTGAGTAGTGTTGTTTGTGCATAAACATTTTATATCATTTAAATTTTACTGTTATTTTAAATGAAACTTTTTTCTCATGCTTGGTCATAATAGTAAGCCTTCTTCCCATTAAGGGTCGTCAAAATAAATAAATAAAACTGAGAATATAATATGGATAATGAGAAATGGAGTGCATCATGTCTTAATTTATATTAATTGAAAACTTAAGTTTATGCAACTAAATAATCTCATGGAAAAAAATGATATTTTTCCTTTCTCACTTTGCTTTTTCAAATAAACAAAGTCAATTATTTAGATTAAGAAAAAATAATAAATATTAATAAAATAGAATACCTTTCTGGCTTCCTCCATTCCAACTAAATGTAGATGGACTAATAAATGCAGGCAACAAATTGTGAAATAGAAGGCTA